CTACGATTGTGCATTGCTATAGGTGGTACCCGTAGCGGTCTTCGGGAATGAAGGTTCACTTCATGCAAGCGGTTTCTGACTGTTTGGTCGCTAATTAAGTTCCCTGAAGAGTGATGAAGCCTCACGACTAACATCATGGCGGTTATTGTTGGAGCTCTTCGAGTTAAGATTTGAATGTATCGGTCTTGTCTCCGTGTGGTGCAGCGATACCGTCCTCCATGGCGCTCAGCCACGGTACCAGTGCTTCGGTATCGTGTCCAAAGTCGACTGATAACACTCTGACTTGTATTCAGAGCTAAAGCCACAGTACGTTGCCGGGAACCAGCTTCTATCATTCCCACGGCTCTGAGCATTTCTTCCCTGCTTAAATGACGTCGCCGCTCCATAATAACGTTGGTTTTAATCAGTAGTAGGGAAACAGTAGCACTAATAATGTCTTCAATGCGTTGTATGTTTTTATAGGGAAAATATTGACAGCTGATTTTCATCTTTTACTCGAATTTGATTCACAGTTCCTGATTCAAATTATGAAATGCACCAAAAAGGATCCATATAAATTTATAAAATCATAAATTTATTACAAAGCCACATCTCAATCTCAAGAAATCCGCATAAAAATGCTTGATCCCTAGACACTTTTGATGTGTGTATTTGGAATTTCAGAAATCAAAAAAGCTTATTTGGAGCTGGGCTCTGAAAGAAAGCATTGGAATATCCCAACATCTTGTGTAATGATTTTCGAATTCAAAACTAATTTGTCTCTTAGGCCCCTTCTGTACACCAGGGGCCATGATGGGCGAACCATGGCCATGATCAATACCATCATTGTGCAGCTGTCGATACGATCGGTGTTCATACAATTGTTAATTGCCATCGGTCGAACTGTTATGTACCATTATATCTTTATATATATAATTCTTCTGTGAGTGTGTATGTCACTGAACTTCTCTTAAACGACTGGATCGATTTTGATGAAATTTTTTGTGTGTGTTCAAGGGGATCTGAGAATGGTTTAGATTCACAATTTTGTCCACTGGACAATGTTTTTTTAATTAATTTTTTTTATGGCGGTATGAAGTTCGCTAGGTCAGCTAGTATATATATAAAAATGAAACCCGTTTTCCGTTGTCACGACATAACATGAAAACGGCTTGACCGATTTGGCTGATTTTTTTTTGTAGTTTTCTAATACTCTGTACAAGGTTCTTACGGAAAAAAAATATAAAGAAAATCTCTCAGATAGATTGAAAAATATAACGTAAATAATGTCAACGTCATTCAATTTAAAACAAAAAAATCTGTGGTAATCTGTGACAACACATCCATAACCACGCTAACAGTGAATAGGTACGCATACATAAGATAGGTCAGCTATACAAAATAAAGTAGTGCATCAAAGCTACGCTAAGGCGGTACGAAGTTCGCAGGGTCAGCTAGTAATGTATAAAATTACAAAATATACTCCATATTATATTCAGTAAAAAATCATGTTAATATACAATTAAATATTCTTTTAATATTTTAACCGTCTAATACAGATGAAAATATGACAAAAAATTCACTTTTTGTCGTATAGGGGCCCACTTTAAAATTTTATTTATTCTTTTTTAGTATTTGTTGTTATATCGGCACCAGAAATACATCATCTGTGAAAATTGCAACTGTCTATCTATCACGGTTCATGAGATACTGCCTGGTGACGCACAGATAGACAGACAGTGGAGTCTTAATTAGTAATAGTATACCGTTTTTACCCTATGGGATCCCACGAAACCCGTTCCGGCAGGCGAGGGAGCACTGTTGGGTTTTTAGTGGGTAGGGCCCCCCCTTCATCCCGAACAGCCGCTGAGCCAAGTTGGCTCAGGGGGTGGGCGGGATTTGGGGGGAGGAGGAGTCCCACATAACCCCGTCTCTCACCCAGGGGCGGGGTATGCGTCACGCATTTTCCCAACAATAAATAAAAAAAAAAAAAAAAAGGGAACCCTAAAAAAGTCGTAAAAAGTTTTATTTGTGTATATTTATTTATTGTATTCTAAATTGCGGGTTCATTTGCATGTCATTCGATAAATCTTAATGTCTCATTTATTATTCCACTGGGTTCCGACATTGCAATTAGGTACAATAAAGTATTTTCGTGTACGTCTTAACCATTCAGCAGCTAAACGTGAACTAAAAGAACGGCGATCGTGTGGGCACGCGCACAATCATGGCAGAACTTTCGTTTGATGAGTATCCGAAAACCAACACAGCGGCGATCGTGAACGATCAATGACAATGATCGTGATCGCCTGTAATAGGCCATCATGGAACCATGGTGGTGTAGAGGCGCCATTAAACATTCTATCAACAAATGTTGGACTGCGTTAATTTTTCACTTCATTGTACTCGAAAGTCTTAATCCGCTAATAATTAAAAAAAATAGGGACAAAAAGGTTCTAATCAATTTAAATTTAGGCTCAATTTAAAATCTAAAAATGAATTTGTAATCAGTCATCGGATCCATTAGCCCCGGCGGAGTGAATGGGATCAAAACAAACAAAGATAGCAAGAAACCCCATTGTACAAAGCATGTCGATTATTCCTAATTCATTTGAACAAAAGCTTTGCTCAATGGAGGAATCGGAATAAACGCTTGGTCACGGCCTGCGACGCCACAGAGATGCAACTTGCGACATGTGACTTGTATATTTTTTCTTCTAGATTTTTCACGTTTTAATAAATAAAAAAGGCTCGACGAAAGCATAAGCTTACAAGTGTATTTATTGTATTTTTTTATTTTCCCTCTTTTAAAGGTTAGATAGCGAAAGAAGATTATGAGTGTATTATTAATTGTCAGCAATACTTCACAGTAATATAATTAATACGTAAAATAACAAATTAGTTTAACCTTTGAACTTGAACTATTGGAATTTGAACTTTTTTACAAGAACTATATATATTATAACATATATAATACACTTAGGCCCGTATTACAGAATGACAACTAAGTTCGATCTTTACTTGAGTACAGTTAGAAAAGGATGGCGCTATGTGCTATACAGAGCGACATCCCATTCTAATCTTTACAGATCAACACTTAGTTATCATTCTGTAATACGAGACTTAGACTTTTTTCAGTAGAAAATATTTTACTACAATACAAACAACTGTTTAATGAGTTACTTGTGTAAATACTGCAATTTAAAAGATATAATACATCATCAATATTTTTAAATGAGTTCTACTCATTCATGATATCACAAATTATAGATTTCATGAATGGAAATTCATACACTTCCTTCTAATCTACGTATATAAAAGTCCTTAAAATACCTAACGAAACTTTTCATTAAAAAAATGTTCTACATTTTTTTCTAGTAAAATATATCGAAAAAAGAAAACTGGCAATGAAATACCGCAATCTATATAAAAAAATCAATTGTTGTTCGTTTGTCTCGCTAAAAGTCGCGAATGGATGGGTCCGTTTAGCTGATTTTGGTTTTTAAAATGATTTTTTTAGCCCAGGGAAGGTTTAAACGTTGAAAAAATATAGAAAAATTGCGAGGAAGTTGGTAAAAACAACGATTTCATTTTCCCACAAAAACTTTTCTTGGCAACCTATGAATGCCTGACAATACCAATTAAAATTTTCAGCCATTTTAGTGAAAGGTGAGTTATGATTGCGTTAGGATAGGTGATACAAAGTACTTCGGGTCATCTATTAAGAATGGAAAAAGGTCAGATTACTATAATTTATCTATTTATTTTATGAAACATGCTACCGGGTTTTTACCATGAAGTTTCTATCGTTTTATCTGAATTCGTAAATCGCATCATGCTGGTGACCAGGCAATAACTCGCACCAAGTAATATCTTCAAGGAGATATCCAAACGTAGCCACAGACACTTATTTAATGTCCGATCATTCCACCGATCGCCCCTTATTCCCCAGATGAGCTCATTTACCCCACACTCCCCCCTAAAATGACGAAGCTCCCGAATTTAGACTTACCCTCGACTTGGGGTCATTAGCGCGAAACGAATTCGTGATGTTTTGTAGCCATTTTTTGCGATATTCGGGAATTTATAATTACTTTTGGGCAAGTGGATATGAAAAGCGAATATTCTGATGTAATTTTTTCACGGAAAGGTTGGCAAATTGTATTTTATTTACGCATTTTACTATAAAAAAAATACGTAGAAATAATTCAAAAACCCGAGGAATTCCATTTGTCAATTAATTTTACAAATCCTATTTTATATTATAAATGTGAAAATTTTGTATGATTTTTACTCAATCACGTAAAAACTACTGATCGGATGTTCAAGTTCATATAGCTCTTTTATTAGAAGCAAAATGGCGCTGTAGCAATTGTTACTCGCACTATGGTTTGAGTTCCTTAGTTTCACTTAATAACAACTTTAGTTCTTTATTTAGTTAATAGATGTCACGTTAAGTCCTTGTAATCGCGGTATAGATTGCTGCAGTGCGTTTCTATAAGTAGTTTCCTATATGAATAGATAAAAGATCAAGGATTCAGTACCAGTTCAAGATTCTGTTTGATTTATTATGTTTATTTTAAGAATACATTAGTTCAAGTACGAAGTTCTATCATTTCAATCAACGAATCCCAATTCGCCGAGTACTTTTGCTGACCCTTGGTCCCAAACATCGGATTTGATGAAATTTTGTTATGCTCACTAAAATTTTATCTTAAATGTTTATGACCTGGATTGACGCCAAAAGATACTTTTCATTTCGGAATAATTACAGGTTCGTGTGGGATTTTCGAAAAAATAAAGTTACACAGACGAAGTCATGGAAGGCCGCTTATAGTGATAGATATTATTTTAAATATTGCCTGTATCGAGAACAGTGATGCGAAGAAATAAAGTGTTAAAATAAGACTTTTACCTCCCTTTTTGACATGGTTTTGGCACTAATGCCAATCTAAGGTCATGCCAAATAACATAACGCAGTTACCGCCCATAATTAATTCCTGAAGGACGTTTGCTGCATGTCACGCCAAACGCGTCCCAGTGCAAGCTTGCTGTATAGCGCGATGAAGATTCCTGATACTCAAATAATAATGTAATCATTTGTTAATAATATGTTATGTTATATACTCGTAGGTACAATGATAAATACTGTTTAATTGTAGACATTTTTGCAGTCCGCCATCGACTAGTTTTATTAAAAAAATTAATAACTTTTCTGAGATCCTGGTGGCACGTTTTAGCTTGTAAGATAGTTAAGCCATTAACTTTGACTCCGTATGGTAGGTTGTCCCCGTTGTGATTCTGCTGCCCATAAGGAAGGCCTGTGCAAACAGAGGGGACGGTAAACGGCTGCCGATGATGATGAATATAGTTTCATCTTATAATTGTACAGCTGCGGTCACATTAGTGGATTGTACAAGGTGGTCAGATAAATGACGTCCAAAATTTTTTTAAGGTGCCTCGTGTTGAGAGTTATCTGAATTACCCCCCCTATGCATGTTCTACGATTTTCCATAGTTTTCAAGCTACGTTTTATTAATGAGGTTTTTGCAAAATTGTGATCGTTTAAAGTTGGAAAATTATGTTAAGTTAGCTATCATTTAAAGTATCAACTTAAAAATGAAAAATCTAAACAAGCAATTTCTTCGTTCCTAAGAAGCTTAATACTAAGTAGAAATCAGCCTTCAAACACAGAGCAAGGTGTTTTTTTTAAATTGATGAGAAACCTTAACCACAAGGTTAAATTGAACTTTAAAATTATGTTAGATTTTAACTTTTCTGGGATGCTTTTTGGTTTATTAACAAATTAATTAATCTTACAAATGATAAAAGGCTATTTCAGCGAAAATACTTTTCTGTTATTAAAATTTTTGGGACGACACTTTTCTGGCAGTCCTGTATGGCTTTTAAATGGTAATGCAAATCCCCATAGCACCTTGTTCGATAATTCCCGACAGCCTAAAATGACTTTAAGTCCAGGAGCAGCCAAAACAAACTGAGTTTTAGTCAGTAGAAATCTGACATAAAATTACAGCCGGGTGTAGGGTATGCCTCATAATTTGATGACTTTTTATAATATTTTTATTTTAGGCAATAAACTGCTATATTTTTTGAAGTTATACTTCTTTAGGCGCGTTATGAAAAAATGATGAGAGTGAAATTTTAAGATGCGCGCGCATCACTGTAACACAAAATTTTAACATAATGAAGTTGGTCGCATTAGCGACCAACTTCATGCGTTACTTTTGTGTTTACCGCACATTAAGAAAATCTACCAACAAAATAGAAATAGAATCTCTATTTAGTGGGTGCTAACGACTGCATTGTGAAGGCCTATCAAAAGTATTTATTAATCTGGAACAACGGAACCAAAGCGCGATTCAGGAGACTACAGCGCCATCTCTTGACCATTGGTGTAGTAGAACCAAAAACCACATCTTTATTTTTTGTAATAAAGTAACAAAAAGTATTTATTAATCTGGAACAACGGAACCAAAGCGCGATTCAGGAGACTACAGCGCCATCTCTTGACCATTGGTGTAGTAGAACCAAAAACCACATCTTTATTTTTTGTAATAAAGTAACAGTTATAGGTATTCATATTTATAATATTTATCCACATGTTTCTAGTTTGTATATTCGGAATACGTGTTTGAGTTTCATACAAGTGCAAATCACATATGTTCTAATAAATTATATTCAGTAGCGATTTTAATTGAATATTTTGATTATTTATTTATTTTTTCAAATTAAAACTGAACTTTATTGACACGCACCCATTTTTTTTTATTAAACAAAGGTTTACTTTTCCTTGGAAAGAAATAAAAAAGTGTGGAGAGTAAAATACGGCTAATTTTTGCTATCAATTGCTATTATTAAAATGAACTAGTAATTATTTTTGTCTCAGCAAGAAAATAAATAGATAAGGTTGTTTCTGTTACTATAAGTTAAGAGAAATTGGTACGGTCTGCCAAAGTGTGGGTGGTAAGTGTGCATGTGTACTTTACCAACTATCTTCGCTATTAAGAGTGGACGCGAGCTGAGAGACATTTCAGAAATTGGTATTTTAAAAATCTATTGCAGTCACGCATTGGCTAATACCGTGTGAAAGGGTTAGTAGTAGTTAGCGTTGAAAATTGCGTATACAAATTACAAAATTCAAAGTTTGGCTCTCGACGATTTCCTTCTCGAAAATTAGATATATGTAAAAGTTTTTTTTTAGAAAGAATAATAAGCAGTTATACTTTTTTGCCTTTTTCGAGAGTTTCTTTGAAACGCAAGTTATCTAAAAAAGGAAAACATAGGATCATAGAATGAGTAAAATTATATTTACTATGAAAATCAATTCCTTAGTGATAAATATCAAGGAGGAATCAGTCGAGAACGTTTGTATGGAAAAACCATTGTGCGCCTCCACTCTTAACTTCAAGTAGGGTGGAAACATTTAATTAAGCACTTTGGTTAAGTCACTTCCGTCTCTTGATCATATCCGATACAATTTGGCCAAAACGCCAACATAAAATAGCCATTTTTGTATCTTAGGTTTTTGTTTCATAATTCAGACAACGCATCCTCAAAAGGATGCGAAACGTCAATAAATAAATAAATCAGTGCATCTATACCGTTGAAACTTGTTTTTTAAAATAGCCACATATATTTCGTATAAATATGCTGGTTTACAACCTAACCTTAGTCAAAGTATCAAATTCGTTCGGCTGTTCACAATAAGCTATGGAACGCAGAATCCCCAGAGCCTAATCGCTTCATTTAGCTGACATGTCATAATTTACGATACGAAACGAGTGCTGTCCCAGCTAATATATTGTTCGGACAATTAATCCGTTGATATTAAACTTGCAGCAAATTGCATTTTGCTTCACACCGTTTTGAGCCTTATAGCTTTTCAGTGGAAAACTCTTTTTCGTGGCGCACCATAGGAGCGACAGCAAAATAATTAGAGTGTAACAGCTTCAAAGACCTTTTAAAATACAAAGGCTTTCTTTTGTATCATAAGAAAATATATTTTTAGACTTAACGTGTCTGTCTGTGAATCCGTGTGTCACTCAACAATTTTCATGAAATGTGTATTTCTATTACCGTTATAACCTTACATGAACTATGATTACACCGGTATTTTTGAGTAATATCTTTTACCATTATAACCACGTAAGTTGCTACGTACAGCGTATCATACACTTCGGTGTCGCTCATCAGCTCACGTGATCTTGCGAGGCCGAACCACATCATCAGCCTATTAATGTCCCCACTGCTGGGGCACAGGTCTACTCTATGGACGGCATAGGTAGATTGAGTCATGACCAGTGCGGATTGGTGGCTGTTAACAACTGCAGATGTAGCCCTGACCAGCATCTTAAGGCACCTTCTGAAGCACGGGAGGAGCTTATACCACTACATCGAATGCTGACAGTATTCTATTAAAACCAAATGATATTAACCAACTGATTCAAAACAAGTGATATAAATAGCTGATGCTGCGTAACATGGAGCGAGTCGAGATCGCACTTTTAGGTTCACTTGTAACAAATTTGCTAAATCTCGATTTAACTCAAGGATCTAAATAGATATATCCCATAGACATAGTCAAAACGTCAACGTCATTTTGACACTATCTTCACCTTTCGTCCATTTAAGAAATCATCAGGGATATTTTCGGGGCCCTTTCCAGATTTAAACACCACCATATCTGTCTTTTCCAAATTGTAAGTAAGGTTGTGAGCTGTGGCAAAATTTTCACAATTTTTTGTAAGTTTCCTCAAGCCCTTGATCGAGGGACTGAGCAGCACCATGTCGTCCGCATAACTCAGCTGGTTGACATACTCGTCATCCAGCCGGAGACCTACCGGGGTGCCACTCAGTTTCTCGATCACGTAAATGTTAATAATATCCGGAGAGGTCAAACGACCCTGTCTTACTTCGCAAGAGAGGCAGCTCTACCTGACATTATTACTTTAATTCTGATATCAGCACTCAAGAAGATCCGTAGTACAAGCTGGAATACCCGCATTGCGTAACTTTTTTTACAGTAGGTCATGATTAAGTGTATCAAAAGCACGAGACAGATCTAAAAAACAAGCAAATACTGTAGTGTTGCGCTTCTTATAGTAACTAACTACTTGTTTCAAGGCAAATATTGCCATGTCAGTGGACACCTGAGGACAGAACCCGAATTGCCCATCGTCAATATTAATATGAGAGAAGTGCGAATGAATAACTCTCTCAAGCACCTTGGCCACTACTGTCGCAAGTGAAATTGACCTGTACTTAGTCACGCTCGAGATATCCCTCGTTTTATTCTTCATAATAGGTACAACTACAGTTCGCGTTAAATCCCTCGTAAGTAGCAGCGTCTCATGCAGAGGGTAAAAGACCAGGTCAAAACAGTACAAATATGCTGGCCAGCATATAGCAGGTGTTCTGTACTTACTTATCGTATAATATTATAATTATGTTCGTTTAGAGTTAATGTAAATATAAATATTAATAAACCTGTGGTAAAATAAGATGGTATAGAGCTGGAGTGTAATAAAATATGAAATAAAAGTTAAAATATACATGTAAACAGGAAAGTATATTGTTATGAAGTACGTCAAAATTTTACATCAAATATTTACAAAGTGCCAACGTCAACTTTAAGTATAAAATTAAGATTGTAGCAACCCGTATTACAACGGAACCAAATTATAATATTAATTGTATAATTATTGTCCGCGGAGGACAAAAGTCTTTAAATCGTGAAGAAAATGTCCGACAAGGACTTGTCACGGACTCAACGCACACGATGTGCGATCATTTGTTCCCCGGTAATTTAGAAAAGCGCACACTATACAGGGTGTTCAAAAAGTCGTGGATCAAACGAAACAGGGGGATAAAGAAGGTTATTTCCAACAAAAAATCTTTCTACAGCATGGCCATAACTTCATTGCACGAAAAGTTATGAATATTTTTGTTTTTTTCAATGAATCTACCGAGTTTTTTTTTACAATTTAATCAATAAAAAAATAAATTGATTAAACGCAATAAAACAAAAGGTGTTGTATTATGACCGGATTATG